CTCTGTCAAACAAATAAGTAAAATCTTAAAAAAAAAAAAAAGACACAAATACACTGCTGGTAAAGCATACACTGGTGCATTCTTACTTATTTGCTAACAGTGATCGAAATGTTAAATTCACATATCCGTTTGCTAGAAATTTACTCAGAGTTTACAAACAGGCCATTTACAAACAGGGTCGCTGCAGCACTGGCTGCAGCACTGACTGCGGTGGCAAAACACCAGAAACACTGGAAGTGTCCTTGAGCTGGGAAGTGTTGAAAGAAATGGTGGCATAATCATGAAAGGGAGTATGACGCAATTTGGGGACAAGGGAGGGAGCTGGGAGGAGTGGAGGGAGAGGCTCACTTGCCATTTTGTACCTTTGGGGGTTCTCTGAATACATCTACAATTGAAATTTTTCATTTCATTTTTTTTTTTTTACAACTGCAACTTTTATTTTTAAGATTTTTATTTATCTGAGAAAGTACAACCAGGGGGAGGGGCAGACAGAGGGGGAGAAGCAGGCTCCCCGCTGAGCAGGGTGCCCCAAGACGTGGGGCTCGATCCTAGGACCCTGGGATGATGATCTGAGCCGAAGGCAGATGCCTAACCGAGCCACCCAGGTGCCCCTACAATTAAAAAAAAATACTTTCAGGATGGCAGATTTCTGGCCCACGATGGGTTAATCAAAGCAGCCCAGGCCAAGGACTGTGTTCCGGAGAAAGCTAAAACGATGTAGCACTCTACATTCAGCAACAGCTATGAAGATGAGAAATGCCTGTACCCTCCCCTCCAGCAATTCCACTGCTGGGGATTTACCTCATCATAAACGTACTCTCCTACAAGGATGTTCCCCCCAGCACCGCTGGCAACAGCAAAAATTAGAACACGTAAACGTCCACAAACAAGACTGGTTACGTAAGTGATGGTGCTGCCACCTTACTGAGGAAGGCCTTCGTGGGTGAGAATGAAAAGGGGTCCAAAACAGACTCATAAGGGGAAAAACAACAACAACAACAAAGTACAATATGATCTCAAATTCTATACATTTTTTTAAAAGACATGCATATATAGGTCTTGGAAGGAAGGATACTTAAAATATTAACAGCAATTAGGATTGGTGAGGGAACTTCACTTTACAGGATTCTGAATTTGCAACTGTTACTTATTTTTAAATAAAAATTTTCTAGAAACCTAATGATGCAGGAATCCGCATTCTTTATGAGAACAAGAAAGGCTAAACTCACTTCAGCTTCTTTCTCACTCATCCCCTGGGGAAGGAGTAAACAGATAATAAAGGGGTGCGTGCAGAAGCTATAGGAGAGGGAGAGATCAAGGGCCTGCAGGAGCCAGCAGGTCTTGGCCCTCATTCCATCTGGCCAGGCCGGCCTGCCGGGACAGCGTCCTCACTGGCTTCCCCGCCTGGGGGCAGGGATGCCACCTCTATCTCGAGCACGAATCTGACTGAGGCCCAGTGGTTGGAAGTTCTCACCGGCTCCCCACTCCTCAGAGGACAAAATCTCCCTCCCTGTGGGGGATGTGCTGTCCTCTGTATGCTGACTCTCTCCCTCTTGCCAGTTCTCCCGTACTACCTTACATTTACGCCCCAGCCCCATCACACTGCGAGCTGGCTGCATGAGTTCGATGCTGTTTCTGGGCATCACGTCCTTATCCGTGTTCTTCCTACACCACTCCTCCTACCTGCCATAATTTAAGACTCCACACTGGAACCAGCCCTTAACAAACCTTCTGACTCCTCCAGACTGCCCCAGGGCCCCTCTCTTGTCGCCATTCCTACCACAGTCTGTCTCCTTCCCTCATTAGCCTATTAACGCAAATACATACCTACACACATATTTGAAAATCGCATCCTATCACCTTTCCATGGTGACAGGATCTTTCTCTCACTGAGTTTCCTCCAAGTGGAGTTTTGCTCTTCAGTTTTGTTCTATCTTTTGCTACGGTTTTTCTTCACATGCTTAGTGACCCTGGCTGCCAGTCATTCAGTTAAGGGTAAAATACTATTCGATTGATGTGCATAATTTACTGCGTCCGGCATTCTAGATGAAGGAAGAAAAAGATGTGATCCTATGATAAAGAGGATGTTATTTTGACTTCCATCAGATGTGGAGGAAGAAGCCGAATTCCAATAGAAAATGTAAATACTCTATATTCTGTTACTAAAAAGCAGGGTATTAGTAAATAATGGAGGATATTGGGGAAAAAAGTGTAAAACACTAAAAGGCTTAGTGGAAACTCTCTTTTTGGGGGAAGATTTTATTATTTGAGAGAGAGAGCGCAGGAGGAGGGGCAGAGGGAGAGAACCCCAAGCAGACCCTGCTCTCAGCGCAGAGCTCGACCTCATGACCCTGAGATCATGACCTGAGCTGAAACCAAGAGTTGCATGCTTCACTGACTGAGTTACCCAGGTGCCCCCGCCCCACTTAGTGGAAACTCTTAATGATGCTTCTTTATTTTCTTAGAATGAACTAAGTTCTTTCTTGGGAAGCCCCCAATGTCTTCCTTTTGGGCTCACCAGACACCCCAGAGAAGGATCTCTGTCTCTCTGGCTGCCCGTCTAGAAGCCAGATTGGGAAAGAAGGCTAGGGTTGTGAAGCACTTCAGTTTGTGAAGTTTCTCTTAATCCTTCTTTTCAGTATGGCTCCCTTTCTCCAACTCCTGCCATGTGCCTGGTGTTCCCCAGTCCAGAGACTCTCTGGCTTATCTTTAAAAATAAATCTTGGGAGAGAGTAATCCTTTAATTTTCTGCCAAGATGGAAGAAGGATAGTCGCCCATCTGCTTGGAGTGAGGAAGCCGACTATGAGCTCTGATTCTTAAACAGACTTTTAGTCCCACTTCACCTCTATATCCAGAAGTCCCTGGCACTGTCAATTCCCAAGATGTAGGGAGAAGCCATGGTCTAAGGCAGCTGCTTCTGGATGCTTCTTGCCGCTGAGAGGTGGATTAGCCTTTGGCCATCTGCTTTGTGACAATTACCTCCTCTCCTGTTCTTTCTGGTTTTATGCTTAAAAAAAAACTCTTCACTGTCCTCTCAGAGGGTACAGAAATAAACACATGTGATCAACCCTCCAACTTTCACAGAAGGCTGCTCTTGAGTACACTTTACAGCAATCTTAGGATTTAAAGTACTGTTATTCCATTTCACAAGAGAAAGGAGACTCAGAGAAGCTAAGTCATTTGACCAAGATCTCTTAGCCCATATACTAGAAAGCTGTAATTTGAACCCACTCTTTGAAGTCCACTGTTATTATTCACGTATTAGAGATAAGAAATTAAGGCCTAGAAAGACTACATAATTTACTAAGATTACAAGGCAAGCGACTATCAGTATGTGGATTTGAATCCAGGACTACCTGACTTCAAAGCCCATTTTCTTTCTAGCGTAACTTACCGCTCCATGTTTAAGGCCAGTCCAACCCAAATGCTCTACTGGGGTGCAATATACTCTCAGGGGTTCAGGCACTGTCCCTGAGACTGAACATTTTATGTTTTCATTTTTCTGTATTTTTCTTAAAACCAGTGTATTTGGGTTAATTTGGATAATCCATTTATAATCCAGCACTGCCCTGGAATTTAGGGGTCTGCACTTGTGTTTGTTTGCTATCTCACTGCCGCCTAGAAGTTCTACTTGAACTTCTACTTCTACTTCTAGTTCTACTTAAACTTCACAGGCTAATGAGAATAGAACAGAGTCTGCCTTACCCTATAAACAGTATGTTCACACCAAGTGAAGCCAAATGATGGAGGGTCTAATGTGAGAACAAAGGCTTCACAGTTGTTTAAAAAGTGGTGGAAGCATGAGGTCATCCCACAGCAAGTTAATCCAGCCTGGCTGAACTCAAAAGAAGCCAGGCCATTAACCAACAAGACTTTCACGTTGTGGGTAGCAAGTTCATTCCAGCAAAACACCCAAGAGTGCATTAATGCCCACTTGAATGTTACTGTAAGAGTGAGTTTAATTTACTTTGTTTTGGTTTTTAATGGTTTAATAGTTATGAGCCTAGTCTACCCCGTTAATGTGGATATAAATAACAATAAAAATAATTGAAGCAAACATGGGGATCAAAGAGACTTTAGGTAGTACTGTGTTTTTTTGTTTTTTTTTTTAATAGGGTCAGCTGAAAACTCAGGCTAATCAGAAGATTGCCCAAAATAATGACAAACCCGGGAGCCTGGGTGGCTCAGTGTGTTGCGTGCGTGGGACTCTTGACTTCCAGTCGACCTCAGTCGATCTCAGAGTCGTGGGATCCAGCGGCCATGGGCTATGTGCTCAGCAGGGAGTCTGCCTGAGATTCTCTCTCCCTCTGCCCCTCTTCTGCTTCCAGGTGCTCTCTCAAATGAATAAATAAATCTTTTAAAAAGAATGACAAATCACCCTATTTGGCACTGTCCAAGAACATGCTACCACAGGGCAACTTGTATCTTTGTTTCTTTTAATGTTTTCTATCATCAACCCTCCAAACTCTTTGAATTATGGGTAATTCCCAAACCTGCCTTTTCCCCTTCAAACTGGTGTGCAATGTGGGGGTGAGAAGTTGGCCCTTTTCACTGTGTATGTCCCACAGCACTTAGCAGTGTGCCACACAGGGAAGATGCTCCATATATGTGGGATATGTTGAATACACAGAATCCAAGGGTTACTCCTCTATTACAGGTGAGAAAACTGGGGATCAGAGATGCTTGACTTGCTCCAGATCACTAAGGTGCAAACTTGAGCAGTTCTGACTGCAGAGCCTGTGCGTTCGGTCTCTAATCTGCCTTCATTTTCAAGAATACCGCCTGGCCCTTATGAGGTCTGGCAACTCTCTCAGGGCTCAAACGTCTGCTGAACTCATGTGAGACTAGGTGTGGTCTTGGAAATGCCTCCTCCCCCGGGGTCTGTTTCCCCAACGGTAAAATGGGGGTGTAGCCGACAGCACCTAGGCCTTTGCAGCTCGGAAACAGGAGACGAGAAGCGGGAGGGCGTGTCGTGGCTGGTCCTCTCTTGGGCTCTTACCATTTGATGATGTTGTGAACCAAAGGTAAAAAGGAGTAATTCTCCTCTTCCTTCACGCCGGCGGGTGACTGAGGCCTCGGCGCCGGCGACTGCTGCGGCTGAGGCGCGGCGACCGGAGGCGGCGGCTGCGAAGGCGGCAGCGGCTTCGTCTCGGGCAGCGGCGGCTCGGCCGGCGGCGGTAATGCATCCTCGGCCTGTCGCCCGGCGGCCACCCCGGCGGACGCCATGGCGCCCGGGACCCGCCGGTCAGTCACCAGGACCCCAGCGATCAGCTTCTCAAAAGCGTCGCGGACCCCAGACGTCACCACCGTGCGCCCGCGGGGGCGGGCTCTGGAGAAAGGTTGTGCGCGTGCGTACTAGGATATGGGCGGGGAAATGGGGCGGGGCAACGGTCGGGGGCGTGGTTTCTGTTACTAGGCAACGGGCTATTGACGTATTTGATTGTAAATCGAGGCAGCTAGTTTATTAGTCAGCAATAGATTTATTTCAGAACCATTTTATTCTTATTAACACGACGAAGAGGGTCCAAAAGTAACTAACACAGGAATGCTGAGATACATAAGCCTCCGCATAGTCCACCCTTGCCTTCGGAGAAGGCTTCCCAAAGAACCACCTTGACCCACAGGCAGAGTAAACAACCCCCACCCAGTGCCTGTTACATGCAAAGCACCGGGCTCCACGGGCATCAAGAACCCAGAGAGGGAGGACCCACAGCTCCCCCACCGTGCAGAGGCCTCCAGGAGGACAGGAGGCAAACCCCGACCCAGCCTTAGTGTGACACTCTGCTAGCCCAAACGGTGCAGAGACAAAGAAATTAGAAGCCCCGCATGGCTAGATGGGGAGGAACTAATAATTCGACCTGTAATATGCATCATCTGGATGGCAGATGCAGAGTTAAATGTGGGGGTAGGGGGTGGGAGGGCTCTCCAGACTTCAGTAGGAGGCAAAAGGGGATTGACTGGTGGGAAGAATAAATGTATCCTACAGAAAAGGCAACTGTCAGGTAGGTACTCTCCAAAGCTGCGGGCCAGTTTCTTCAACCCCTAGATCTCAGTTTCCTTAACCATAAAATCTTTCGTTCAGATTCACAGTAGATCCTAAACTGCTTTCTAACTTCAGACCAGGTGTGCTTGAAGAGGCTATCCCCTTGCAGCCGTCTGGGGAAATACTGATGGTGCAAGAATTAATAGTAATTACCACAACTGCCGTGGAATAAAAGTAGATACAAGGAAGAGTCACAATCATTATCACACTTAATCCACAAAAGAGCTCTAGAAGGCAGATGCTAGCATCTTATTTCTTGGTCGAGGAAACTGAGGCTTATGATGGTTGAGGTATTGGCCCAGGGCCACACAGCTTGCCTGACACCAGATCTACGGTCTTGACCAACACCTCAGGTCTCTGCTGGTTCTGTAACTTTATGATTCAAAATCTTAAAGTGATGGGGCACCTGGGTGGCTCAGTGGGTTAAAGCCTCTGCCTTCGGCTCAGGTCATGATCCCCGCATCCTGGGATCGAGTCCCGCATCAGGCTCTCTGCTCAGCAGGGAGCCTGCTTCCCCCTCTCTCTTTCTGCCTGCCTCTCTGCCTACTTGTGATCTCTGTCTGTCAAATTAAAAAAAAAAAAAATCTTAAAGTGAGGTTTTTATTCAGAATTCGAAAAGCAATCTGATACTCATCAATAATATCCCCCATGGCAATTGCCCATCGTTCCCCCCACCCCCCTCCGGTGTGTTTTATAACCTAATTACAAGTCTCAGCTTTATCACTGGCAGAATAAAGAGGACATCTCTTTTTGGAAAATGAAAAAGCACTCCAGGTATAAATAGCTGTGGCTTAAGAAAACAAATCGAAAGCAGAGGAAGTGTGAACAAGGAGGTGCATTGACAGTTGGCCCCAAAAATAGTTAATACGCTTAGTGGCACAGAGTAAAGCTGACTTCATAACATTGCAGGCAGATATCAGAGGAATCTGCCCGTGCTGGCTTCATGAAAGCTGAAGTGGTAGACCTCACCAAGCTAAGCCACCAAGTCATTGTTTCTTGGGCAGATTTATCCTGTTTCTCGAAGAATCTTTCTAGTCAAGTTGGTAGTTTACAAGTTCAGCCAGCCGGCCTGCCTCCAGGCCCAGCTTGACCTCACCTTGTGCAGCCATGCAACTTCCTAGAAGGACTGAATGGTTATGCTATTTTCAATTTTCTACGAGCCACATTAAAAAAAAAAAAAAAAAAGAAGCAGGGGAAATGAATTTCAGTAATATATTTTATTTCTTTTGGTATCTCCTGAATATGATCATTTCAACGTGTGATCAATTTTAGCAACTATTAAAGAGGTAGTTGACTGGTTTTCATCCTGTCTGTGAAATCCACTGTGCATTTTACTCTGAGAATGGCCACCGTTCAAGAGCTCATCGCCATGTGTGGCTAGCGGCGGCATAGCTGAATGATACAGACCAACAGATCAATGTGTATCAAAACAGAAGGCTCGTAACCATAACGGTGAAAGGAAAACAGCAAGTTTCCCAAAGGAAACAGAGAGCATTATTCTTTATAAATGTCTGAAATGTGAAAATGAACACTATGTATTGTTCATAGATTCAAGAAGCTTATATAAAAGTGTTTCTTTTTATTTTTTAAAAAAGATTTTATTTATTTACTTGAGAGAGAGAGAGCACAAGTAGGGGGAGATGCAGAAGCAGAGGGAGAAGCAGGCTCCTTGCTTGACCTGGGGCTCCATCCCAGGGCCCTGGAATCATGATCTGAGCTGAAGGCAGTTGCTTAACCTACTGAGCCACCCAGGCACCCTTATAAGTGTTTTAAAAGGAGCTAAAGGCTATACCTCACATGCACGGGACAGGGGATTAGCATGTAACAGCAACTTTCTTTTCTTTTTCTTTTTTTTTTTTTTTTTAAATTTTAGTTATTTATTTGACAGAGATCACAAGTAGGCAGAGAGGCAGGCAGAGAGAGAGGAGGAAGCAGGCTCACTGCTGAGCAGAGAGCCCGATGCGGGGCACAATCCCGGGATCCCGAGACCATGACCTGAGCTGAAGGCAGAGGCTTTAACCCACTGAGCCACCCAGGCGCCCCAACAGCAACTTTCTGTGTAGTGTTAGATTTCTTTTATAAGAGGACTTAAAGCAAATAGAAGTATGAACAATTGCCAAATGTAGGAGCAGGCAAACATGGGAGTTTGGTACATTAGAATCCCAGCTTCTGTTTCTTTCCGGTTGTGGGAATTTGGACAAGTCATTTCACCTCCTGTGCCTCAGTTTCCTTATCTGCAAAATGGAATCACAACAGCACCTACTTAATGGGGCTAATGTAAGGGTTACAGGAATGAATGTGTGGAAAGAGCTATTTGAAGTGGCCCCTAGTAAGAACTATGAAGTTTTAGCTAGAACTGCTGCTTTGTAAATTTTTCCCAAAAAAGCCTTATCATTATTTCTTATAATAATCTCCACAAACTGTTACTACAAGAAGAAATAAAACCAGGCTGCATCCAAGAAGGGCACTTTGAGCTGCTCTAAGTGGATCTACGCCACAAATACCTGTGAATATGCTTGTGATACATTCCTTCTACGTGAAGTCCAAAAATAGTCATTCCTCTGTCAGACAGACAAAATGGGGATTGTTAAACCCATCATGCCATTGAATGATTGGGGGCTTTTTCATCAAAGCTATATTCTTACATATGATTCATCCTTTTCTCTCATTGCTTGGAGCCTCGGGCAGGTTGGAAAAGCTACATGATACTTTGGTTTTGTAAGCTAAAAAAACAAAACAAAACAAAACAAAAACACAACAAAAACCGGGCAGCGATCATTGCTCAGGCCAAATGTAGTTCAGCCTCTAGCGGGAAGAGGGTCCCTTTAGCCACAGTTCCCTGCTTCACTGGAAGGACAAAAGCCTTTTCCTCGCGTGCATCCGTCCTGCAGATGGTCTTTCCTCTCTCTGAACGGGATTTGATTCTCTTCTTTGTATTCCTTTAAACCCATCCTCTCCTTACTCAGAGACACTCTGTGATGCCTGGTTTCTCAAATCACTTATATTAGGTTTCATTTCTCGGAAGCACTCATTTGGGGACATTTCAGCACGCAAACCTGACTGTGTTTCATTCAGACTCCGAATTTTCTCTGTAAGACTTTTCTTTTAGTCCTTATTCCTTCTTCTTGTTTTTCGTCAGACTTCCGCCAGCTTTCTTTCTTTTTTCTTTTTTTTTTTTAAGATTTTATTTATTTATTTGACAGAGATCACAAGCAGGCAGAGAGACAGGCAGAGAGAGAGAGAGGAGGAGGCAGCCTCTCCGCTGAGCAGAGAGCCCGATGCGGGGCTCGATCCCAGGAGCCTGGGATCATGACCTGAGCCAAAGGCAGAGGCTTTAACCCACTGAGCCACCCAGGTGCCCCTGCCAGCTTTCGATAGAATAAAAATGAGAGGCAATCCATTCCCAGAAACTGTTTTTGTTTAAAATGGTCACTACCATTCTGATTCCATATTCTTTCCAATGTCTTTACTAAGTCATTCTCTAATTATTTGTTAGCCAAGGTTTTTGCTTGTTTGTTTGTTTGTTTTTTCCCTGCCAGCTGCTTCCGCATAGCCTCAACTTTAACACCTTCTGTTAATCCTTTTTTAAAAAAAATGTCCTTTTTCTCATGATGGCCTTTCCAGTTTTTCTCACTCTTCTTTCCCCCCCACCCCGGAAGTTACTTTGTTTATTTCATTGGATTTTCTGTAAGTCTTTTGCCCCTTGGTTACTAACCCCAGTTACAAAAGTATAGTTAAAAATTACTCTGTGGGGCGCCTGGGTGGCTCAGTTGGTTGAGCCGCTGCCTTCGTCTCAGGTCATGATCCCAGAGTCCTGGGATCGAGTCCCGCATCGGGCTCCCAGCTCCATGGGGAGTCTGCTTCTCTCTGACCTTCTCCCCTCTCATGCTCTCTCTCACTCTCTCTCTCTCTCAAATAAATAAATAAAATCTTAAAAGAAATTATTCTGTAACTGGATAGCATGTGTGGCTGGTGTTCATAGTTTGCTCCTGGCTGGGCTTCCAGACCTCCTGGCATGGGTGGAGATAGTCTGTAACTACAGACATTTGGAACATCCTCAAACTAAAGAGTCTAACAAGTTCCAAGCTGGAAAATGGAAGAAGCATGGAGAGGGAGCAGCATTTGTCCCCTGTCCTTCATCCTCTCCTTACAACATGCCTTTGAAATGTGGCTCTATGAGCTGTGAACATTCCTGCCAGGTCTTTGGCTCGAACAAACCGTGCGATCCTAGTAGCCGTTAGGAAACAGCCGTGGCCTG